TAAGGGTTGGGGTTGTGGCTCAGTGGCAGAGGGCTTGCCTTAGCACATGTGAGGCACAGGGTTCAATCCTCAGCACCACATAAAAATAAGCAAATGAAGACATTCTGTCCAGCGATGACTACAAAAAAAAATTTTTAAACAAAAATCAAAAAGCAAATAAGTGGCTGAACCAAGATCATGTAGAGTCTAATACATTGTCATCTGATATATTGTAGTGGAACACTGTCATCTGAGAACATTGCAACCTAACCCACTGTCATCTGATACATTGTAGTTTCAACACACTGTAGCAAAGATGCCTGGCAAAAAGTCACACATGGCTCAGACGCTGAGGGCTGAGGTTTGTGACCTTAAAAGCCCATCCTCATAACCTTTTATAACCTTTCTTTCTACTCCCCCAGCAATAGTATTGGCCAAGCTTGTTCTGGGCCAAAGACCTATGGTAAATACCTGACATGCATTATGTCTTTAAATGTTCAAAATTCCTCTTGGCAGATGGGTTCTGTTATCATTCCCATTTTGCAGATGAAGAAAGAGGCACTCTGAGAGGCTAAATGTCCCGTCTAAGCTAGTAAGGAGCATGGCAGCCATGCAACCAACTCTGGAATGTGTAGCGTTGGCCTCTGCACCCTAGATTTCTTATCTATGCTCTGCCTTTGATCCCCCAGGCACCCTGCTGGCTGTCCAGTTTGTCCATGCAGTGGTAAACAGAATCATTCCCACCTCCAATGGCTTTATTGCTCCCACGAGACATGGCTATCTCATCCGAGAGCGTTTCCACTGTCCTTCTTCAAGAGCCTCACAGGAGGATCCCCTCAAGAACTTCAAGAAGGCAGTGTGGATGGTCAAGTCCAGGCAGAGAGAAGAGCTGGCCGCAGCTGCAGAAACACCCCAGGACTTGACATCCAAGATGGCCCAGGGAAACAAATCCAGATCAAACAAACATTCACAAGTCTGCCTTTTGGTGTGAAACCCCGCCACGGAGCATGAGGTTCCAATGAGTTGGCTCCACCTAATCTGGTTGAAGCAAAAAACACATTTGCTGCTGTACCTGTGGACCCAAGGCCTCCGATTATGAGACCAGGCCTCACCTTTTCCATCTTTACATCCTTCTTTCCTCCTTCTTCGGTTCCAGCCTCATACCTGCCACCGGCAGGTTAGCAACAAACACGCTGCCTTCTCAAGTTCAGTAGAAAAGACAACTCCCCTGTCCCTGGAGTTTGCACCTAAGTCCTAGCCCTGGCTCTATTGGTTTCAATTGTCTCAACACTCCTCCTTGAACCAATCACGAGCTCCAGGAGAATGCAGTGCCCTGATTGGCTGGCTTGAACTGAACAGAGCTGAGGGTGGAGAGAATGGCCACTCCACAATGTTGACTGAGAATGGAAGACGGTATTCCTGGGAGGGAAACTGGGAGGCTAGGACCAGGTAAAGGAGGGATGGAAGAATGTGGAGCTTTACAGTCCACAGAGGCGGTCGTCTGATCCTCATCACAGTTGATACCTCAGGGAGGGCAGGAACTGCTGTCTCTTGTTTTACAAGCGAGGAAACTGAGCCTTGCAGACGTAACTATGATTTGCTTCAAGTCACAAGCCTGTTGTACAAAAGCTCTGAGAAATGAGATTCAGGAGCCTTCCTTCCCAGTCCTTGTTGGACTACGTCTCCTGCTTTTGTCTTGGAAGCATGATGTATCTCCTCCATGGGGCACACTCGAATGCCCACGAGGGTGGTCAGTGATGATTCCCACACACCTGAGTGTACATCAGGGAACAACAGCCTGGGAGCATGGAGATACTCATCCTTTCACAGGTGGGCATGAGCACCCTGACTGTAGCCCAGAATGGCCATGGCAAAAGCAGCCCCCCCCCATTGTTAGTGCTTCTTTTCTGAAAGCCAGAAATCGAGGCTTTTATGCAAAATGTTCCTGCTTTTAAAAATTGGCAATTGGCTCAAATTTATATCTAGAGGCACATTTGGCCTGTCTCTAAGTTCATGAGCTGACTTCAGGACTCAAGCTGCATTAAAGTAATAAACATGTTAACATGATATATTCTTCCAGCCCTATTCCCTGGCTCCCAAGCTCTAGGATAAAGATGCTTTTTTTTGTCTTGAAAACTGGAGGCTCTTGGAAGCAGGCAGAGAGAGAGAAAGAGAGAGAGAACGAGCACACACAGGCGAGCAAGCGAGAGCTGTTGACATCTCTCGGCTTTGCTTTTGGACCATCTGCCTGTGCAGGTTCAGCAGCTGAACTGATTCCATTTCACTCAAATGGATCTTTCCTCTTTGCCCACAGTCTTCTAAAAAGCCCTGCTTGCTTCTGAAGCCTTTGCTATAAGGAGGAGTCCAAACCTTGGTGGTGCTTGCTGCTCCTTCTGCCCTCCATTGGATTCTAGACACTGTCAGTAAGAGCAACCTTGGAGGATGAGGCTTTTCTTGTGGGGGCTGATCAGGGTGGATGCAGGCCTCACAGGTGCTCGGCAGGTGCTATGCCACAGAGTGACAAGCTACAGCCCCGAAAATGAGGCTTTTGAGTGGACGAGACTCTACTGACTATAATGTTCATTTGTTTCCCAAACCAGGGTTCCCAGTCGGGCTTTGGCAGTTCTGTGAATGTTGACATCCACTTCCATTTTAAAATATCTAATCGGTGATCTTAAAATGTATGCTCAGGTGCATTGGGCATCAGCTTTCTTTTTAGGTTTTTAACAATTCTATTTTATTTTTATTAACGCGTATTAATTGTACATATTATTGGTGTTCAGTGGGATATTGCAATACAGGTATATAGTGTGCAGAAATCAAATTCAGCCTCCCATAACCACCCTCTCCATCCAACCTTCCTGACCTCTAGTAACTCTGCACTGCACTCAGCACATTTATTTTATTCTTTTAACTTCCATACATGAGAATATGCAGCACTTGACTTCCTGTTTGGCTTGATTCACTTAACACAATGTCCTCCAGTTCCCCCCATTTCACACAAATAAAAGAATTTCATCCTTCTTTATGGCTGAATGATACTCCATTGTGCATGTTTACCACATTTTCTTTGTCGACATGCATCTTGGGCACTAGGCTGAGTTCATACCTTAGGAGAAGATTTTCAAGTGTTGGAAATCACTAATTCAGGTTTGCCTCATCATCTCCATTTGACTAAAGAACACACTTAGCTTACGAGGGGACCCTTAGTGGGGAAAGTGACTCTTTGCCAACGTGTCTGTGCCTCAGGTGTTAACTCTATGTGGAAACCAAGTGGGTGCTTAACACAGCGAGATCTCGTCTGCAACTTCTGGTTTAAAATTTCTGTGTCCATCTCAACGTTTCTGATGGGTTCAGTGAGAAGCAACCGCTCTGCAGTAAATACAATCACGTGTCACTGAAAAACAGGAGCACACTCTGATGTGCGTTGTTAGGTGAGTCTGTCCTCTGCGAACATCATAGCATGTTTATGCAAACGACAGCTCTGATGTCACTAGGCCATGCAACCTTTGGGGATCACTGTGGTACATGTGGTCCATCATGGACTCAAATGTCATCATGCAGCATGTGGCTGTACTAATAAGAACTAATAAAGGGCTACTCCAAATGGTTGCTTTTATATGCGCACAAACACATATATGTGTGCATATATACACATACATATGCAAACTTGCACATATATTCCTGTGTATATGCATACACCTGTATATATCTAGATTATGTGTGTAGTGTGTGTATATATATACATATATACATATGTATACATACACACACACTCACACACACACACACATATATATAATTTTTTTCAGTAGTTTTCATTCAACAGACTCTGGCTGGCTGCTATGGAAGTTTGACATTCACTGTGCTTTGGAGAAGACTAGCTGATATGAGGTCTCCCAACTCCCCAACATCCATGACAACATGGCTATTTGATCCCCACCTTTATAATGGAGGGGGCACTTAAAAAAAAATGAAGATTGAACCCAGAGGGCCTTAACCACTGAGCCACATCCCCAGTCCCTCCTCCCCTTTTGAGACAGGGCCTTGCTAAGTTGCAGAGGCTGGATTCAAACTCACAATCCTCCTGCCTCAGCCTCCTGAGACACTGGGATTACAGGCCTGCACCACTGTGCCTGGTTTCAAGGGGAACATTTTTAAAAAATAGGCTTTATTTATTTTTTAAGCAGCTCTAGGTAATGTTTCTCATTTCCCAACCCCCTACTTCCACACATTCACAGCCTCAGCATTTATCATTTCCCCCCAGAGTGGGACATTGGTTATAATGAAAGGACCTGCCCTGACACCCCCTTGTCCCAGGGTAGGCATTTTTCATGAGGCCACCTCACGGTATATTAGCTTTTTATTGCTGCATAACAAATTGCCGCAAATTTAGCAGCTTCAAATGACATCCACCTATTATCTTATAACTTCTCAGGTCAGAGTACAGGCATGGACTGAACCGGTTCTTTGTTCAGTGACTCACAAGGTGTCAGTGACACTGGGTTCCCGTGGGGAAGCTCAAAGTCTGCATCCAAGTTCATTCAGGTGGTTGGCAGAATCGAGCTCCTTGGGGCTGCAGAACTTGGACCTCGGGCTCCTAGAGCTGCCCTTCTCCATGGACAGGTGGCCAAACAGCTAGTTCCTTCTTGGGCACCAGCAGGTGGCTCCTCAATGCCCCTTTCAGTCTCTGATCTCCAGATTATCTTTTAAATATGTCCTTTTTAGGCCAAGCCCACCCAGAGTAATCTCTCTTCTGATCAACTCAAAACCAACTCGTATATATTTGCAAAAAATACTTTCAAATCCCTTCACCTTCGCCAGGTAGGGTAATTACTGTGGTTTGGATACGGTCTGAGTGTGCCCCACATAGCTTCGCATTCTGGCAGCTTGGTTCTCAGTGTGATGGTGTTGCGAGGCGTGGCTCGTCTCTGAGGTAGGCCCTCGGAGAAGGCAGCACCCTTGGAAGGCATTACTTTAGGTCTCAAGGAGTGAGTGAGTTGGGAGAGTGATTGTACAAAGTGAGGCCACCACATACCCTTGTTCTCTTCTGCATAGTGCTCTTCCCCGCCTTGTTGTGATGCACTCAGGGGCCCTCCCTCCTTGGTACCAAGCTGTTTGGATCCTCTAGGAATCATGAGCCAATAAACCTCTCCACCTATGCTACTGGCTTTGAGCACTTTGTTATAGCAACAGAACGTGGACTAGTAGATTTCCACGGGGCATGAGCTATACTTTGGATCTTAAATGTCCCCCCCAAAAGTCCATGTGGTAAAGGCTTGGCCCCCAGAATGGCACTAGTGGGTCATGGTGAATCCTTTAAGAGGTGGAGTCTAGTGGAAGGTCTTCTGTGTCTTTGGGGATGTGCCTGGGTCTTTGCTCTTCCCTTCCTTTTCACTTCTGGGCCATTAGGTGGGCTATTTTGTTCTGCCGCACACTCCACAGGGCCCCAGGGCCAACCAATCTTGCACTGAATCCTTCAAAACTGTGAGCCAAGATCAACCTTTTCTCTGTAAGTTGACTTACCTCAGGTATTTGGTTCAGTGACAAAGCCGACTGACACACAACATGCGTTTGGGGGGTGGGAATCCTGGGAGCCCCCTTAGAATTTTCCCTACCATAACACATTCTACACTCCAGAGATTTGATTCATAAAGTCTCACCATTTAGTAGGACTAGATTGGTTCACAATAGGATCTTTTGATCTTTTCAACTTTGCCAAAATATTCTCTCACTAAAGATCTATCTTTTTTCAGGGGGCTGGGTACCAGGGATTGAACTCAGGGGCACTTGACCCCTGAGCCACATCCCCGGTCCTATTCTGTATTTTATTTAGAGACAGGGTCTCACCGAGTTGTTTAGCATCTCGCTTTTGCTGAGGCTGGCTTTGAACTCACGATCCTCCTGCCTCAGCCTCCCGAGCCACTAGCATTATAGGCATGTGCCCCTGTGCCTGACTCCCACTAAAGATCTATCTAAGACTCTCAGTGGTCCATTACGTGTGACAAAGGGTAGGGAAATTGGTGTTCCGAAGCTGGTGTTATCTAAATTGTCAAGGCTTTTCAACTTAATCTGTGTAAATGAGCATCGTAGAGAAAAATAGAAAAAAAAAAAAACTAAAGTAGCAATTTTTTGCTTTCTATTTTTTGGTACTGGGGATGGAATCCAGGCACACTCTACCACTGAGCTACATCCTCAGCTCTATTTTTTAATGTTTTATTTTGAGACAAGGTCTCACTAAGTGTCTTAGTGCCTTGCCAAGTTGCTGAGGCTGACCTTGAACTTGTGATCCTCCTGCCTCAGGTTCCCAAGTCGCTGGGATTACAGGCATGCGCCACTGTACCTGGCTTATCGTAGCAACTCTTTATGTTTGTTAAAAATAAGAATTAAAAGATGTATGTGTGCAACTATGTTCTACGTAACAATGTTTGTGCTAACAACAGACGGCATTCATGACGGTGGGCGAGAGGGTGGTGGTGGGATCATTTCGCCTACCATCTCTGTGTAAGCACACACCGCGATGTTTGCACAATGAAGAAAATCACCTGACGACACACAACTGAGAACACCTCCTCTCCCTCCACTGACAGACGACTGTGCTTTTGTCTGCCTGGTGAACACACATGCACACGTGCACACACACTCAGAGATACGCGGAAATACACGCGTGCCCCACATGTGCCCACAAGTGGACGTGGCTAGGGGTTTCCTGTTCTCCAAAAGAGGCGAGGGCTTCAATTGACCATTTGGGAGAAAACGGAAAGTGATCCTTGAAATTTAAATGGAGTTTAGGAGAGGAGAGGGCACTGCGAGCTAAACCTGTTGGTGTAACTTAATAGCACTCATGCCACAGATTCCCGAGGCATGACGTGAAGCCCCGGTGTGAGATGGACTGTCCAGATCTGGTGGCCAGAGAAGGTCCAGGCGTCTTTGCTGCTGTTCCTGCAGAACTCCCCGAAATTGAGCATAATCCCACTCTGGGCTGGGAGCCAGGTGTCCTTGAGCTTTATCCCTCTCTCCAGCGTGTCTCCTCTACTTGACCTCCTACAGACCCCCGCTTCCACCCCTTTCCCCACCTCCACTCTCTCATGGTTCCAGGTGACTGTGGTCTTTTCCTAAACAACCTTCCTGGACCCCCTCCAACCTCTCCCTGCAGAGCAGCCACAGGGATCACTTCCAAATGCAAACCTGATGCTTCAGAACGTCTCCGCTCAAAACCAGGCACAGTTCCCAGCACCAGTGCTAAGACCAGACGCCTAACTCATCCTACAGCTGCGGGGTCTGCCTGCTCTTGCCCCCAGATCACTGATTTTCCTGTGTTCTCTTTTTCCCTCCTCTCTGCAGTCTGGGAATGCTGATTTTTTTTTTCTTTCTTTTTTTAAAGTTCTTTAAATGTGCTGTGCTCCCTCCCACCTCCGGGCCTTTGCATGGTTGTTCCCTTTGGCAAATGCCCAGGCATGTTTCAGATCTCACGAAAATGCCATCTTCTCTGGGAAACCTCCATCCCTTGCTGGATGCTGTTAAGCCCCCTGGATGGCAGGTGGTATTTTGTAAAAATAGTCATGGCAATATTCCATGTTCCACATGTTATTCCATGATGTGGCTGTTTCCCAAGTTCTGAAGCATGTCTGCCCTCCTCTTGAATTTGGGAGGGATTTTGTAATGGCTTTTAAAGAAAGAATCCAGTGGAAATGATTCTTTGTGACTTCCAAGTCTGGATTGGACAAGCTGATCTGGGTTTTACCTGGCTTGCTCACTCCCTCTCAGGAGAATTGTTCTTGGAACTCAGCTGCTATGTTGTAAAGAAGCCCAGGCTGTACGGGGAGGTCCCCTTAGGGTTCCAGGCTACAGCCCAGCAAGGGGCTCAGCCTCCAGCCAGCAGCCCCTGAGATGTGTGTGATGAGCTTTAGAAGACTCCAGCCCTCAGCCTTCAAGGCAACCCAGGGGATACCCAGGGAACGAAGGACGAGCTAGACCCACTAAGCCTGCCCAAACTGCAGAATGGAGAATAAGCATCTCTGTCCCCTTACGTTTCTAAATTTTGGACTGGCTCATGACATGGCAGAGTAACAAGAAGTTAGTAATTGTTCCACTTAGACCTTGTATTTGAAGCATTTGTTACATATGAGAGTCTACCTGCCTGTGTGTGGTTAATTCCTATCTATCCTGAAAGGCCGAAAGCCCCGAAGGTGAATTCCATGTTGATTTTCACGATTCTACTCCTGACACCTAGCACAGTGCTAATTTCTTCTTAGCCTTCCTGGACCTCTTTGCATATACAACACTTTGTGGGCCGGGGCTGTAGCTCAGTGGCAGAGCGCTTGCCTAGCATGTATGAGACACTGGGTTTGATCCTCAGCACCACATAAAAATAAATAAAATAAAGGTATATAAAAAAGGTTCCATTAAAAAAAAAACACTTTGCTCACTCACTGAATGATCATTTATTTGATAAATGCCTCACTGATGTGGCTCTGGGTCAGAGATTTGTGTCACAGACGAACCACAGATGAACCATGCAATGATTCTGTACTAAGGACTGTGGGAGGATCAGAGCGGGTGGAAGAAGTTTCTAATAGGGAGAGACATTTGGTTTGTGCTTTGCAGGATGCACATGTGTTTTCTGCGTGATGAAGAGATGGGAAGGCACTTCTGACAAAAGGAATGTTGCATGGGGCCAGGAAGTGGGCAATGGGGAGGATGGTCTGCACCCACAGAGGGTAGTTTTTGTAAGTAGAAGATCTTGCCCCCCCCCCAAAAAAAAAAAAAGGTTTGCAAGGCTCAGGTTCTGGTCACTGCAATGTGATCTCATCTTATAAGAAATAGGAAGACCTCAGGTATTTGGACGCAGTGGGCAAATGATCTGTGTTCTTAAAACCACCTGGTCTGGGAAAACTGGTTGGGAGGCCTGTGATTCCCTGAATTGACCTTGTTGAGAAGTGATGGGGTGAAGGCTAGGGAAGTGAAGACAGGAGGAATGGGGCTAAGAGAAGGGCCCTTTAGTAAAAATTCACAGGGCCCAGGGCCCTATATTAGGGTGTTGACGCCCAGATTCTGTTCTCACACCAACCCTATAAGGAGGGGTCTAGAAATCTTTCCCAGTTATTCATTCTGCTGTTGTAGCCAAAAAGCAAGTTGGGCTGGGCTTGGGATGTAACTCAGTGGTGAAGGGCTTGCCTGACACGTGTGAAGCCCTAGGTTTGATCCCCAGTATGTAAGTAAAATTAAAAAATAAAGAATATAATAAAAGGTAAAAGCATCACCCGGAGTGGTGGCCTGTGCCTGTAATCCCAGGCTGAGGCAGGAGGATCTCCAGTTCAAGGCCAGCCTCGGCAACTCAGTGAGGCCCTAAGCAACTCAGTGAGACCCTGTCTCTAAATAAAATACAAAACAGGGCTGGGGATGTGGCTCAGTGGTTAAAACGATCATCAAGCATGTGTGAGGATCCGGGTTCCATCCCCAGTACCAAGAAAGGCGGGGAGGAACAGGCTGAGACGCTTGATAAGTGGGTCGGGGTTCCTGTATTCTAGTAAAACTTCACGCAGCACCCCTAAAATGTGAATTTCATATGTCACAAAATAAGGTTTGGATTTTCCCCCAACTATGTAAATATATAAAAACGACTCTGTGAGCTTGCAGGACCGGACAAAATCAGACATCAGGTCTTGGTTTACCTACCTCTGCTTTGTAGATCATTGGTTGAGATTCCAATGTAAGACACAAGAGCCCCCAAGAAGTCCTCTAAAGAGCTCCGCCCACCTCTTGACGTAGCCAGGCCCCACCCCCGGGGCGGAGATTACGCATGCGCGACCTGCCTTCAGGCGGGGGCGGGGCGGGCCGGGACTCTGACTTCCAACATGGCGCACGCAGGTAGCGGCGGCGGCAGCGGGGGCTCCGCGGGCCGGGGGCTGAGCGGCGCCCGCTGGGGTCGCTCCGGTTCCGCGGGCCACGAGAAGTTGCCGGTGCACGTGAGTGGCGTCCCCGCGCTCTTTCTGGGATCCTGTCCTCCAGCCCCCGCAGGCCGGCGTCCCTCACCCGGGCCCCGCCCGGCCCTGGCGCGGCTCTGCCTCGGCCTTACTTCTGCGCACCCCGGAGCCTGGACCCTCCCTCCACCCCTCACTTTGTCCCCTTGAAGGCCCGCTAGGTCTCCTCACCCCACCAG